AAGCATGGATACTTGAATTCTCCATTTTTCAAATTGGAGCATTGTTTCAAATCACTGATCATTTTTGCCGCATTGAATGATTTTGCGTATATTCGAATCATCTCCCCAGAATGTAAGACAGTCAACAAGCGTTGGGCGATCTCATCGCTTGCTGCATTGGAGTTCGTGCAAACTAAAATAAATTTATCGGTTGACCGTACTATTTCTTCAATTACAGCTACTAATGTCCGAGTTTTTCCGGTACCTAAAATCAATTACATTTTGTTTAGCACAAAATTATATGGGATATATACGAGAATATATATTGGATTTATATTAAAATAAATAGTAAAAAAAACCTGCAGGTCCAAACAACAAGTAAGGCAGTGATTTGTTCATTTTCAGTATAGATATAACGGCTACCTTTTGCTCGTCATTTAAATTTTTCGCCAAATTTCCACTAAACAATTTATATAGAAATTATCAAATAGAAATACTGTTCAGTGAATGACAGATAGCCCAGGATGTACGCTGAGCATAGAAACTTGGACTTAGACTTGCTAACTACCTTGCTAATCACACAGATTTCTTTGAACAGAAAAAAGTAAAATACGAAAAAAAAATGTATCAGTCTAAGTTTCTAGGCTCAGCTCTAGTCTCAGCTATCTGTTAGTGATTCCGTACATAAACATCTATATAAATATTACCTGAAATTATAATCCATAGTATTGTCTAGTCCTTGTTCTAGTCCACCGTAATTGGAATCATATTTTTTGTTTGCGATCAGGAGCGAATGTAAGTTATACATTTCAATATATTCGAGTATCTTATGCTGTATTCTATATGGCAGATTGTTAATTTTGAAGGAGATGTCGAATGATTGTTCTTTGCAATATCTCTTCAAGTTGATACAATCTTTGTCGCAAATTTCAACGTAGATATTTTCTTTATCGCATCTGGTAATTATACCAGAGAATGCCATTCTGGGACGAAATTGATGTGACGACCTTAGCCAGAATTGAACAAGCAACGATTCGTCGATGGCTTGAGCAATCTTTTTCGTATTTTTCTGAAAAAAAAAAATTAATAAATCAAAAAATTATCAGCCATTATTCGACCTACGTCAATTTTAATTTGGAATATTCTTCCAGAGTTTGAATATGATAGCTGTATTGACTGTTCATTGTATTGTTGCAGATTTAATATTTCCGCTGCTTCTTCCAAATATAATAAAGACGCATAAGATCGTATATATTGCTCTGCATCTGAAGCACTTTTTTCGATCATGTTGCTGATAAAGGCCAAATGAGAATCATTTTCCCCAGCTTCGATTTGAAAAATTTCGACCGGTATATCATACACCGATATTTGGTCTAGATGTAATTCACCAAAATGGTCCGGAACGTTCTCAGATATAGCGTCAGTTCGACCTTTTTGCATTTTGGCCTTCTTTTTGAATTCACAGTGTTTTTCCTCAGAGTTTTCCTGGATTTTCCGTTTTTGAATTGGTGTTGATTGGTGAGCTGTCTTTTTGCTCGACTTTTTCGGTATTCGGATAGGTCTATGGATAGGTATTTGGCAACGACGAGCTACACCGTTTTTCTCAACGGATTCTTTCTGTTCCAATAGTGCTTTGATCAGATTTTCCGTGGCTTTTGTTGAAACACCGCTTCTTTCCTCTACAATGCAGCTAGTAACATTCTCTTTAGAAGTTTTCTTTTCAATTTGTTCGCACGTTGGTTTTGACTGTCCATTCTTGATGATTTTTTTTTCAATTTCGATCAATTCGTGAAAAAGCTTTAAAAAACAAATATTTTAAATCAAAATTTGCACTTAAAAAAATATTCCGGGACTATAAGTACTGTTAGATCGCCTTGGTCCATGGAGTCGTAAAGTTGATCAAGTATTTTTGGAACTTGATAGTTCCAAATCACGTCTTTTGAGACGTTTGGGTATAAGCGTTCTGCCTTCGTAAACAGAGTGTCCAGGAAGAATTTTCGTTGAAACCCATACAGACATTCGCTAGTTTCCACATCTGCTAACTAGAATAAATTGGGTTATGATCGTGCAAACTTTTTTTTATTCCTTGGCTCTCAGCTTAGTTCATCCATCATCAATTTATCGACAGTCCGCTTTGTACACATTTGGCTTTGCATTTAGAATACATACTATACATATCATGGGGCTTGTCATTGTAAATGTAGGCAAAGCCGGCTGTTGATGTATTGGCGATGAACGTAGTGATCAGTATTAGGAGTAGTGCATGCGACAAATCAAAAGATTGCCTAGAAGATTGCACTTTCAATACGAAAGACAAATTGAAAAATATGCAAACCGTGCAAACTATTGAAAACTTTTGATTTTGTAGAGAATACCTACTGTTCATTCCTAGGTTTATTCTTTGGTTCATCCATCGCCAATTTATCGACAGTCCGCTTAGTACACATTTCTAGGCAAATTGGCTTAATATTAAGCCAGGTATTTAGTCCAATATTTAGCTGGGTGTATAGTATGCATACACATCGCTGAGTTTGTCATTCAAAATTTTGTTAAAAACTAGCCTAGCAGACATTTCCAAAGACATTCCAAATGTACGCCAATTCGACTGTCGATGTATTGACGATAGAGCTAGCGATAGAGCGTAATGACAACAAACAGCGATTGTCATCGATAAAGTTTTACGCATGTGACACATCAAAATTTATAATAAAAAAATGTTGCAAAAATTTCGAAAAAACGTCTAAACCTTTAATATTAATGTACTTACGTTCTGGAAAAAATGTTTCTCAGACATTTTAAAATTGGTATACCAATTTGCTATTATAATATAGATATTTCTTCAACTTTTTCAATCACTATTACAATCACTTCTCCGCACGTCTGCAGTCAGAAACATTAGCAGAAACATTAAAACCTACAGTTTGACATTAACTTTGACATTTCTAAATGACAAGCCCTCAAGTATTAATGATGTGCTATTCTGCATATGGATATCATTTGTTTCCCTAATTATCTCAATTGTACAAAAACATATTCAAATCCATTTCAAAATTTATTTCTCAAACATATTAAGATTACAATTCGCTAGATAATGGGTTATTTATTGGGTACAAAGGTGTATATTGTATTTGATTTTGTTTTGCTTCAGAGAATGCTTTTATCAAATTATCCTTCAAATTAATGTGATACTCCAAATTTTTGTTGCGGTGAAGAGTTCCGGATGATTTGATCCTTATACCATTTTTGGCGATGAATTGGTTTAAATGCATTCTCATGCCGCCGTAGTCATTTACTTCTCCACAAACTGGACATTGGTGATCTTTTACCGTCAAATGTTTACTGGCGTTACAGCCCTTTTTTCGGTGAGCATTAACCTTTGCCTTCACATCGTTGGAATATATTTGGCAATCTGGGCATGTATATCGCTTGGCCACATTCGTGTCATTTGCTTGATCATTTGATATCTCCAAAAACACATTTTCCACTTCATCAGTCGATGGAATCTGAGCCGATAGTGTGGGTGGATCACCTTGTTCGGCAGTTTCATGCTTATCGTTGAGAAGATTCATTTTTGTGAATTGTTCAGAGATTTGGATGTCTTTAGATCTCAATTTGTCCGCTAAATCTCGAATTGTATTGGCTTGTTGGACGTCTGCTTGCTGTTTTTCGTTCATAAGAAGATTATATCCAGCACTCAATTGATTGATTGCTTCGGTTTGTTGGGCAATTTCGATGCTCTTTAAATTCAATTTCTCGTATAAATCTCGAATTATATCGGCTTGCTTGGCCTCTGCTTGCTGTTTTTCGTTCAGAAGAACATTATATCCGGCACTCCATTGATTGAGTGCTTCGGATTGTTGGGCAATTTCGATGCTCTTTGAATTTAATTTCTCGGATAAATCTCGAATTATATCGGCTTGCTTGGCCTCTGCTTGCTGTTTCTCGTTCAGAAGATCATTCCATCTACCATTCCATTGCTTGAGTGCTTCGGCTTGTTGATCATTTTCGATGTTCTTCGAAATCAATCTCTCGGATAAATCTCGAATTATATCGGCTTGCTTAACTTCTGCTTTCCGTTTCTCGTTCAGAAGATCATTCCATCTATCATTCCATTGCCTGAGTGCTTCGGTTTGTTGAGAGATCTGTGCGTCCTTGTATTTCAATTCCGTTTGTGCATTTAAATATTTGGTTTGGTACTTCTCTACCAATTGAAACCATGGCTCTACCTTTTCCTTGCTTGTGAGGGGAACTGAAAATGTAATTTGAAGTACATAATTATTAGATTGAAATGTGAATTATACGCAAGATTATGAACAACAAATTTATGTTTAAAAAACAGTTTGTTTACGTTTTGGCTGTGTTATATTAGTCTCCTCATCCATTTTCACTGAAAAAGTCTCGAACTCAATTGAATATCAGACCTGAAATCTACACTGAAATAAATTGAAAGTCTATCTGACTAGCGAAACTAGGATCTGATCGAAACTAGGATCGAAATGTCATTATATAGTTCTTGCTGTCACTGTTAGCTTAGTTGTAAGTGCTGCTGCCGTACGGACAAAATATACGTTAAAACAAGACGCATCATTCAAATATAATTCCTTACCCGAAAATTAGAACTAATTAGTTTGGGTTCAAGCTCAATATGCAGAAGAAATAAATTCAAATAATATGTTGTTTTTTTTTCTCTTTCAATTGAACAAACAAAGATATTTGATGAAGTATTTTAATGAAACGGTCCACAAAAATAAATTCACTGATGTTGCAAAAACTCTGTCAAAAACCAGAATTGTTCGTTTAAAATTATCAGGTAGATTTAATTTAAAAATAAAAATAAAAATGTGGACAAAATTCTGAGAAAAATTGTATATTTGTTGTGTTTTGTTTACATTGAAAATATCAAGCAGTTGCAATATTATAGTTATTGCTTGATTCACTAGTTGATTAATCACTTTGAAACAAATTTCCTTCCGTTTTGCGTATTTTATATTTGCTTTATATTCGTTTTTTGTCTGGCCAGACTTTAAATCAGTATAAATGAATGAATACCTATCGCAAATGTTGGAGGAACTGTTTTTGAATATTTTTATCTACTAAATTGTTGACGAAAAATGACGTTTTATTGTTCCTTGGTCTTATAATAAAACTTGGTGCACACACACATAAAACTAGCACAAAAGCCTACAAAAAAATATAATAAAATGCTTGTAAACAGAGCATTCAGAAGGGTATTACCCGAGTCATTGTATCTAGCATTGTATATTTTGCACTTTAATCTGTACTATAGCCTATCTTGTGTAAAACGTAAAAATCTTTCTAACCATTAGAAAAAAATCACCTGGAAAATCACATTTGTTCTAGTTCATTTATAATTTCTTTTACTGTTTCTTCTGGCATTTCCTTGGTTTAGTAATTCAATTTACTAAATTATTCAATCAAGTTCAATTTCTATTGACTAATCTATTGTTTAGACTATTGGTGAATTGGTCCACGATAATTGTGTTTGAATTTTTCTTAGAGTATTTTTTCCAGTTATTTTTATGTCTAATTTTGTACTATCTTCAAAACACAATTTGGACACATTTTAAATTTGAGATAAAAAAGACACATTTTTTGGTGGTGGCATAGAACGTGACTAACGCAATAAGTTGAATTCTATGCTTTAAGCTGAGTGAAGCACTGCCCATGGAACTGTCTACATTAGTGCGCTGACCTAGGCGCTGACATCCTAGCTGGCATCTTTGCTAGTCCCTGGGCGAGGCTCTTGGCTATATCTTTCGTTGTAGTACTCATGAATCAAACCTTCAACGTCGTTCATTCTTTTTTCATCGCCATTTGTTCGAATGCGTAACAAATCTAGAAAGCAAACGTTTTCATTAGATTTTCTATTGATTCTAGTTTATTGGATGGTTAATTATAAATAATTATTCCATATTAGATTTCATCTAGGATTTCATTAATTAATTAATTAGAAACTTACCAAGTGCAAAAACCATCCCTTCGTGGTATATTTCACCGGTTGAAATGTCTGCAGGAGGAACCAACGACAATAAAATGGCCAAAGCAAATGTGAAGTCAAGTGTCACGTCGTGTATATGTGGATGTACGTTCCATGACTGCAATTGATTAATGACATCACTATGTATTTCAATCAAGCGACCTCCAATCTTATATACGCGTCCATTTTTCTGAAAATGCAAAGTTTATAAACAATATTAAAATTTTAGAACCATGAATGACTAAAATAGATAAAATGATTATGAATGTAAATCTAAATTTAGATTCTTACCGTAGTAATGAACGGTATGTCGCCTGAAATCGGATCGTTTTCATGTTTCACAAGACCTTCGATAGTAGATGGTAGTGGGAGGGAACGTCTCTTCCCATCAAAATCCAATCGTCCTCGTTGCCAGAATCACTAATAGCACCATCGTTTTCGGGATCATTGATTGTAGCATTTTCTGAAACGAAATCTTGATCGAGGCTTCCGATGCGCCCTAGAATGCGCTGTGAACTTGTTTCAAAAAGCTGTTGAATTTCTTGCTCATTTTCACCATAAGAACTGAATACAGGTTCTGGTTCCGGTTTCAGAAGATCTTGACCACTCACGCAATTGTCCATATCAGTGTTCATGTCAAAATCTAGGGAAAAGAATGGTTTAGAAGACCATATATTTAAAATGAGATAACAAGCCAGATTAAAATTTTGTAAAAATTTCAATATATTTCGTCGATTTTATTCGACTCATAACGCGAAACTTATGCTTGACCATTGTGCGGTATAGATGGAATTGTGAACCAAAAACGAAATCTTCAATGCATGATATGAAAAATATGACGATTTTTTATGTGTTTCAATTGACTTTAATGGACAGCCAATTAAGAAGTGAAAACTTACCTGATGGAGCCGATAAACTGATGGCATCGTCGTCAGATGTTTCTTGTGCTGCAGATGAAGCGACAACATTTGACTCTACAGGAGGCTGTACAGTTAGCTGATCAGGTAGCTGCAAAGGTAGCTGAATTGTTGCCTGTGCACTAGGCTGAGCAGGTAGCAATGCAGGTAGCTGTATAGGTAGCTGTATAGCCGGCTGTGTGAGTGAATCAATTAGATCTAATCGAGGATCTAATGTCAAAGTAGATCGCAAATCAGTGTGCACGGGTATTCTCCTCGATGGATTATATATTGCTGGAGGAATATTTCGACGCCGTATTTTATATGCCAAAGCAGCCGTCCAATTTACTGAAATACAAAGTTTGAGATGTTAAAATCCAGCGCGCATTTTTGAAAATTGAATATCAAAGGCTAATCGTTAGACTAATCGAAAAATATTCAAAATTACACTGCAAAATGATTAAGAAAGTGACTATGTTCCACAAGAATAACGAAGATTTGGCAAATACATCGACATCTTGTCTAGCATCTTGTGTTTATACTGTTCATCGGCAATTTATCGACAGCTTATCGGCGAACATAGCGAATAGCTCTAGGAATAGCTTAGCGATGAGGTAAAACCGGCTGTCGATGAATTGACGATGAACAGAACAAGCACAAGACGTCAAAGCAAGTGTCACTTGTTTCAAAATCTAACCCACTTCAGAAAACATCAAAGAACATTTCCAATTTATCATTTGCATCAAATCAAATGTTCAATCTTTTAAATACATTGTCGTCCTGCGTTCGTTCCTACGTCGGTTGTGTTCACCGACAATCCATCGGCAGTAGGCGTTGCGTAAATTTAGAGTGTTTACCTAGGTGTCTGTTCTTTAGCTTCATTGACAATTTATCGACAGATTGTCGGCGAACATAGCGAATAGCTTAGCGATGAGGCAAAACTGTCTGTCGATGAATTGACGATGAACAGTATAAGCACAACGTGATACAGCTAGTGTCGAATACTTTGCCACATCTATAAATTTTCGTAATGTTTCACGGTCATTCTCTCAGAACATAATAATCACGAGATTTTTAAGTTGTTGAGATCTATGAAAAACAATAAATTTTTCTAAATGGGAATCTAACAATGACCAGACTTAGCAAAATACACTTTTATTCTAGCTTTTATTGCACTTAATCCGACTGCCGATGGATTGACGATGAACAGAGCAAGCGCAAGACGTCAAAGCAAGTGTCACTTGTTTTAAAATCTAACCCATTTCAGAAAATGCCAAAGACTAGGCCAAAGAACATTTCTAATGTCATTTTGTGTATTTTGTAATTTATCATTCGCATCAAATCAAAAGTTCAATCTTTTAAATACATTGTCGTACTGCGTTCGTTCCTACATCTGTTGTGTTCACCGACAATCCATCGGCAGTAGGCGTTGCGTAAATTTAGCAAGATATTTAGAGTGTTTGCCTAGGTGTCTGTTCTTTAGCTTCATTGTCAATTTATTTATTTATTACGAAGCTCACATTTATGACAATATATGTTCACAGCAAGCTGAGAACATGCTACATTATTTATCGACAGATTGTCGGCGAACCTAGCGGCGAACATAGCGAATAGCTTAGCAATGCGGCAAAATCATCTGTCGATGAATTGACGATGGACAGTATAAGCACAATGCTAGGCACAATGTGATGCAACTATTGCGAAGACTTTGAAACTTCTATAAATTTTCGTAATGTTTCACGGTCATTCTCTCAAAATATAATAATTACGAGACTTTTAAGACGTTAGAATGTGTGAAAAACAATTAAATAAGAAAAAATCGCTTACGTTGGAATCGTTTTATGTAACAAGCATACCAGCCTTCATTTGGGAAAACGCTTGATGTACTGGCAAGAACATTCGGTTCATAACTGCTCAATGGATGTCCATCACGGAAAGCCTCTTGTTTGTCAGTCCAAAAAACCATAAACTTGCGATTTGAATGAATCCCGTAATTAATGAAATTTTCTGCATGTGCATTTATTTCTTTTATCCATGAATGTGGAACGATCACGTGTTCCTTCGTCTGAATAATGAATACTATGAAATACATCGTGGTATAGATCGTGCACGATAGTTTCCTTCTTTTTTAGAGGTTAGGTCTTCGGAACAGAAAAAAATAGAAAAATTGAAAAAAATATAGAAGTTTTGTATAAATAAATTCAGATAGTTGTGTGTATTTAAAATGCCGTACCAGGAAAATTAGACGATTACAGAAATAATTCTGGATTTTACTTCATCGTATTTGCAATTTCATGTAACACATTCGGTCTGGCACGTTGAATTTCTGTCGACAAAAGAATTTCTGTCGTTATATTTTCACTTGTATTAACGACTTGTCGATTTTCTACTTCATTCTTATGACCACAAATATGTCTAGTTAAATTGCTTATTCGCCAGTAATTATCATAGGTGCATGGAATTTTCCTATCACAAAATGTACACTTAACCGAACAAATAGCACGATTTTCTTTTACAGTAATTTTATCTAAATTTTCACCGCTAAATGTACTGTTAATTTCCTTAGTTTTTAAATAATTCTTTACTTTACTCAGCAACAGTTTGTGCAGTTCATCTACATCTAAGTTTTTTGCTGTTTTTTTTGAATTTTTTTTTTCTTTCTTTTCTTGTTTAAAATTTTCAAGTAATTTTGGTAAATTCAAGATTAATGCTCTATGCCCGAGACGGAATTTGAACGGGTGTTCGTTTTCGTAAATTGTGTTTTTTAACTCACTTCTGTTTACTTCACTTTCAATATTTATGATTGCATTTTCGTCAATTGTTGCTATCGCAGGTCCACAGTCATAAGCCGAACTGATTAAAATATTTTTAATAAAGTTTGGATAGACAAATCCACTGAATTGTTCTAATTGATAGAAAATACGACAAGGCTGTTTCTTCTTTGGTTGTTGACTCATTACTGATGTGAGGTTATAACGTTTGAATGACACTATGAATGACATATAAATCCAGATGGCGTTAAGAGTCTTCAAAGGTCGGCAATGCAGATGTTGAATCTGAGTTTCATATTCACAATATTCACAAAGGCGTGTAATATTCACTGCATGTTTGTGATATTCACTGCGGACAGACCGCAACGAATATAGTGACTTCATACAATTTTGTGTGGATCTTGTGAATATTTGTGAATATTTGATTGAACATACAATTCCTTGTATGTACGTGAATGATTGGATGAACAATTCCCCTAGCGTGAATAAGTTTTGGTGCAATGAATTCCAAATCGTTGCCAATTTTTCCAAAGCAAAACCCGTCATTGGTTTGTTTTTTAATCAAAAATAGAACGGTATTGTTTGTAATGAAACTTTGAGTCGTAGTACGCAAATCACCGTTTGATTGAATCATGAAAAATGTACACAATTGAATACAGACAAACCTGAAGTTGGTTGTCACTGTGTTTGACAATTGACAGTCTGAAACTCGCTCTAACCAACTTCGATTTTTTTGTATTTGACAAAGTGTCAATGTCATGACTTTTATTTGTGTACACAAACAAACGATGCGAACTACGATTAAATGTTTCATTACAAACAATACCGTTCTATTTTTGATTAAAAACAAACCAGTGACAGGTTTTGCTTTGAAAAAATTGGCAACGATTTGGAATTCATTGCACCAAAACTTATTCACGATTCCGCTGCGTATTCAAAGGTAAATAAAGAAGTGAAAATATTTCATTGGTGATAACATTGGTGGCTTTGAATGCGTGTGTCGACCGATGTGAATAATTCGTTCCAGAACATTCGCAATAATATCAATTTTTTACTTTAGTTTTTAGAATCGTGAAGTGGATTGATAATGAAACTCTTTCGGAAGCGAAAAGTCTTGCAAATCACAAACAACAATCGAATGGTACAGGCGATATGAATTGCGGCACCTACTCATCGGCACGAAATACTTTGGAAGCAATTGATTTTCATACACAAAACGGTGATTTGCCTTGGGGTCAAAAGTATTGGCATTTGAAAGTCAGACATCCAGTCTCGAGCAATGGAATTTGGACACGTTTGTTCGATGAATTTGATGTGAGTTTAGGAATTGTTCTCAATTTTTTTCCATATTTCATTAACATTTTTCGTAATTCATGCAAATTTCAATTGGTTTCCAATTTTTCACGTTTTCTTACAGAATCGAATGACAAAATGACATCGAAACTCATGCAAACGGTGGCTTTGAATCCAAAACGCTCACGAATCCAAAGTGGCGATCAATTGTTTGGGGTCAGAGACAAGCAGAGCTGTTATCGTGCCATTGTGCTGAAGCTTGAGGCATAAATTAATCAGTGCAAGTGTTTTATGGTTGATATCGGCAGTGTCAAGTTGTGCGATGAAGAGGATATTTTTGGTTGTCTGCGCAAATTTCGTGAAATACCACCAATGGCGATTCGATTCTCTCTGACCATTTGATTGAATTGTGGAGTATCAAGACCTCGGAATGTGTGACATCGCATGAGAAAAATTCTGAATCACACACTTTCATCGAATACAAACAGCCGAAATACACGCATCGCCCAATTGGTATCGAATCTTTTGCTGAAGGCAGTGAGGTGTTGAGCGGAAAATTCAAAGTGGCCAGTTGAATCGAGTTGGTCGAAGATGAATACACGGAAAGACATTTTAAACGAATGACAGAGCATTTAACAGCCATCAAAGCACGCGACTTCACATTTGATTTAATGAAAAATACATTTTGTTTAAGGAAATTGTTTAAATAAAATTTTCATTTTTGAATGAAATACACCAAATTTGTTCGGAAGATGGTTTTGTTTATTGTTTGAAGTCTCGTTGATTCATTGTTTGTGTAGCAAATTGAACGTTTTGTATGGAATAATCGAGTCGACATTGATTTTGTTTTTTTTCCCTAAGCACTCAACTCTTTGGTATTTTTCAAGGTATGGTGAATATTCAGAGGAGTTCTCACTTCACTGGAAACAAATGGATTTACTTACCTTGCCATACTTTCTTCTTTTCTCACGCACAACACCAAATCGAAAATGTTCTTTCTCAGATCAAAATATGGAGAATTCAATTTTGAAAATCCGATGAATCGCACCAATCGTAATATGTATGATGCAAAGTGAGATTTTATGCAATTTTCGTAAGATTTTCAAAGCGAGATTTCAATGTTTATTTTTTCAGACACACAATAACAAATTATTCTTTTTGATTTTGTTAATTGATATTTTTTTTCGCAAAAAAAAAACAATCGGATCAATAGAGCAACACAGAACAGAGGACGACACACTGTAAGACTGATTGAACTCGAATACAATACTCAACGCACTTCGCCGTGTATGCATCGTCGTATAGGCCTCCTTTTCGTATCCAGAGGACACTTTGATCCAAAGACGATGATGCTTGCAACGAAATGCGTAGAATACACATGTGAGCAAACCGATTGTTTTTTTTTGCGAAAAAAAATATCAATTTACAAAATCAAAAAGAATAATTTGTTATTTTGTGTCTGAAAAATAAACATTAAAATCTTGTTTTGGAAATCTTACGAAAATTGAATAAAATCTCATTTTGAATCATAAATCGTTATGATTTGAGCGATTCATCGGATTTCCCAAAGTTGACTTATTCAGATTTCGGTCAATAACAACTCTGGCATTAGTGATAGTATCGTACTGTCTTCAAGAAAATTGTAGCTGAGAGTCAGATAAACAAATTGCAACTCCCTTTTTTCCCAAAAAGGTCACACATTGTTGGTGCTACGGGTCAGAATGTCAAAAAAATGGTCAATTTTTTCAGTTTGTCGGTCATAACTCGCGCACCATGTATTTTTTTCACTTGGTTTCTTGAAGGAAATTGTAGCTGAGAGTCTAAAAAACAAATTGCATTTCTGATTTTACTCAAGAGGTTACACATAGTTGATGCTAGGGTCAAAATGTGTGAAGAAGGGTCCACTTTTTCAGTTTTTCGGCCATAACTCGCGCACCA